GAAAAAATAAATAAAACAGCAATTTTCTAAAATCAATATTAGCATTTGTTAATAGATGAAGCTCTACTCGCCACAGTTGTCTGTGAGGATGGAGTGTCAGAGAGAGAGAGAGATATTTTATAGTGTTATTTGCTAGCAGGAGGAGGGATGCGCAATTAGCAGCTTTTTTTGGATCCTCGTGTAATTTAATCATAAAGCAGGATAATCCCATTTTTAACTTATGCAGGGGGATTTGGTTTATTAAAATAATTGCAAAAGAAAAAACATCCAATAAGCTTTGCTTCCCACAAAAAATGCTGGATGTGTGTCAGGAGCTGCGTCTTGGCTCAGCTCTGGCTGTGCGAACAGTGATGCCGAGGAATCGGCAGTGGCACGGCTCAGCCTCACAGCTTACCTGCAAACTGCGCGCCCAACAGGAAACTTTCCATCACATCGGCGCGGAAAACAGCGGCTGAATAATGAGCAGGTTTGGTTTATCTTTCATCTCAGTGACACGGGGATGAAACATGGCACCGAACCTTTGACTTATTAACCGACAGATAGAGATATTTATTTGCCAAGCAGCTGCTGTCTCTGGATTGCACCTGTTCCAATGATTTTTGCAAGATTGCCCTACTCATTAAAGAAAATCAGAAACTATATCAGAAAGAGACGCGCGGCAATTTTTTTCAGTTTATTTGAACATTTTCTCTTGCCAAAGACTAAGCAAGTAGAAGTAAGTGAAATTCCTCCATTATGTGTATGCGCAACTTCATCATAGCCTGAACCTCGCCAAAATATAACTTACATCAGACTCCCACTAAAGTGCGCACAAGCAAAGCAAAGTGCGCACATGAATGAACATGATTTTTTTTTTTTAAAAAAGACCATTCTTAAAAATCGGATCAGTCTCATTGCCCCCACCAATTTCATTACTTACTTTTCCACAGAAAAATACCATCCTCATATCACGTCCAGAGTGGCAAAAGTGTCCCGAGAACCCGAGAATGCGAAGTCCTGTCGCCCCCGAAGCGGCTCTGACCTACTGGAAAGCTGCATCCCGCCAGCCTCTCCATCCACCTGCTCCTAACTTACGCACGGCGCCGGCATTCAGTCGCCCTAATCAGAGCTGCTGATCGCGCTACATCTCTCAGGCCATCGTTACCTCCGAGAAATAGTCCACGTTTGTAAAAGGAAAGACTAAAACAAAAACAAAAAAAACACAAGAGAATGAAAAATAAAATAAGGTGGCGTGCGCTCGCGAGTGTGTGTCCAACAGGAAAGTCTTGGCGAGGAGTCAGACAGAGCGGCAGGACGCACGCAGCACCGAATGGAGAGAGAGAGTGTTTCTGACAGAGACAGAGAGAGAGAGAGAGAGACGGGTTGAGTGATAGATCAGCAGCAACGTGTCACTGTGCGTCGGTGTCCTACAATTTGCTGATTTTCATGCACATGAGCTGGCTCTGCTTCTGCTGTCCTTTTGAAAAACCCTGCACAACTCCCCAGCTGCATGCTGGCTTCTGTATCAGTGTGTCTAAGAGGTATATTTAAAAAAAAGGAAAATTAATAAAAAATTGGAATATGGAAAATTGCACATACCATTTTGCAGGGAGCTTTTGTTCTCCAGCTGTGTTTCCTTTTGTGATGTTTTGTACTCAAGGAATTGGAAAAATCAACCCCAAGCTGCTCAGAAAAAAAGGAGGTAATCACGCTGTCCCTCCAAATTCATCAGGTTCAAATGAAATGATCTCAAGTGATTCACTGTCCCTTTCAGGCGCCCATCACAGGCACCGGTGCACCCCTCTTGTCAGCCAACAGCGATGGCACTCGGATTTGAGCACTGAAGCCAATCCAAGAGCCAATCTTATGTCTTTATATAAAGGGAGCGTTTTCAAGAGAGTGCAGATGGCGGGTATCTTCTGTGACCTCTCTCAGTGGAGAGCTCCGTGAGAAAATGTCCTGCCACTTGTCTCAACATAGCAACACAAAAGTGCAGCTATTATTACTGCTATCCTATCAAAGATTAATAGTTCTATTTACGTCCAAATTGAGGGACTGGAGCTCCTCAAGGGGGTCACAATGCAAGAAAGTAAGTGGAAGGGGGATTTTTGAGGGGTTCCTGAGGCAGAGATAACCCATCAGTGTATCCTTTCAGACAGGCTACTGGTTCAAGTGCATGTACTTCAAAGAGTGCTGTATTCTGCTTCACCAAGGATAGCAACAACTCAGCAATATTTACAGTTCATTTTTATATCGTTTGTAAGGTTGGAGTGATTCAAATATCCCTGCATCCTTCTAGTATGAATAGCCAGAAGATACATTAAAAAAAATATGACTGATACTGGTTCCACATGTAAATATTAAGCTAATAACATAAAGTTATAGCCAGCACTTGGAACAATAACAGAAACTTGTACTTGTCTTCAAACTGAATGGAAGCCAGTCTAGCACTGTGGCCAGTTGTTACTTATGCACTTTTTTAGCGACACCCATTCAGCTGCCTCTTTATGCAAATATATGATCAGCCACTCACATGACAGCAATTCAACACATGTGTAGACATGGTCAAAGTGACCTGCTGAAGTTCAAAGTGAGCATCAGAATGGGGAAGGAAGGCAATTTAAGTGACTTTGAAGTGGGCCAGCTGGGCTGGTGCAAGCTCTTCAGAAACTAACAATGTACTGGGATTTTTTTTACACAAACATATCTCAGGTTTACAGAGAATGGTGTGAGAAAGAGAAAATATCTAGCGAGTGGTAGTTTTCTTGGTGAACATACGTCATTGTTATCACAGGTTGTAGGAAAATGCCCAGGCGACTTTGAGGAAGGTAAAGGCAAGTCAAATAAACACTTGTTACAACCAAGGTATGCAGAAGAGCATTGCTGAATGCACAGCAGATGGGCTACAGAAGAAGAAGGCCACACTGGGTGCCACTCGTGTGAGCTAAGAACAAGAACAAACTCAGTCTGCAGTTGACATGACTCATTAAAGCTGGACTACAGAAGATTGGAAAAAACGTTCCCTGGTTTGATGAGTCCAATCAAACCAATCCAGTACTAAGAAGGTCATAAGGAATCGAGTGAGGGTATGTCCATATCTTAGCTATAAGCTAAGCTAGCAAATGAGTGCACATCCATAGCTTAGGTAAACCTTCTTTGGTTAAAAATCCACATTTTGTTTGATCTACAGTGGGGCAAAAAAGTATTTAGTCAGCCACCGATTGTGCAAGTTCCCCCACTTAAAATGATGACAGAGGTCAGTAATTTGCACAAGAGGTACACTTCAACTGTGAGAGACAGAATGTGAAAAAAAAATCCATGAATTCACATGGTAGGATTTGTAAAGAATTTATTCGTAA